ATGTATAAAGTCAGCCGATGAATAAATCCCCCAGGGGTTTTATATAGTTAAAATTTAAAAAGTAGCTTTCTTTGAAAATCAGAGATGTAGGCCTTACAGAACTACAGGAGCAATAGAGGATATTCACAGTTAGCTTGATCTGCTGAAATTCAGCTAAAATGGTCAGACCTTTTTTTCTAAAATCCAGTCTGACTTGAATAAAGTTGCCACTTTGATGAAACTGTGAAATGGTGAAACTCAAGCTTGCATATACACACGGGTGCGGGCTTGACCAATACACTCTGCTACTTAAACAAATAGCACTATACCGCTTTCAGGAATGCATACTAGGAACAATATGTGCAGATTTTGATATTAAACTACTTTAACTACAGCCTTCTCAAATAAACTATGACAACATCGTGATCTGTTGTCCGCTAGCATAAAAACCTTGCATATGGCCCACTTTGTCCAAAGGATAATCTTCTCTTCTTCCATCCAAAAATTCTGCATTTAGGTTTGTGCAGTTTCCTAGTCTGTGTGCATGGTTTAGTAACTCATTTACTCAACAATTTCTGTTCCCCTATTTTAAAAATACGTACGGACAGCCTCACTTCACAGATATGTCTTCTCTGTTTTGGCCATAGCAATTTTTTTCCCATAGTTTGGCAATACGGACCCAAATTAGTTCTTTACCTTAAAGTTTCTGCATTATCAGGACTAAGGAGGACATTGGCAGAAATCTCCATCAACTGAATGCTTTAGTTGCTAAACATGCGAATTTGCAGTTTGTTATAAATGTGCACTAATTTTCAGACAGAACACCACAACGTCTGGAGTTTACCTCAGAAGTGGCTTCAGAGACTCTGAATCGCTCAGTGGAAGTTCTTCAATCTATCACCCCCATTAGCAGCAAAGTAGAGGAGTGGAACAACAACATGAAAAATAACGAATACTCCACAGCTGCCTATGAACAGGCTGTTGCCTCTGCAGGGGCAGCAGGTATATATCAAAATTACTACATTTTATGAGATTTGTATTTAATGAGTAGAACACACTATACTGGTTTTCATGTTAGCTATTGTTATTCCTATCGGCTTTTTTGACTTACAGTTCCTTCGCAACCACATTTAAAGTTGATTTTTCTTCATTATTTTTTTGGCAGTGGAGAACCTGAATTTGCTTGTTCCTACCCTGCTGGACAAGCTGAAGGTTGTTGAGGATAAGAAGCCTGTCAACAATGTGACCACCAACATCATGAGGATCAGAGAGCTCATAGCCCAGGCCCGGAGTGTGGCCAAGAAAGTTCGTTCATTCCTTTTGACACACTTAGTAATGATATCCCAATTTAGTCATTACCACTAGAGCAAAGGATGACTGACTTCCATGTGCAATCATTTTATATTTGATGACATGGCTCTGTTGTTGCACCCCTCCTACCCTTTCATTTTGAGCCATAGAAGAAAAGACAAAAGAGGGAGAACAGCAACATCACACTGATTCAGTTAGGTAAATTATATAAGGATCAGCTGGACTGGAAGTGGATTTCAAAGTGGCTTGCAGCAGCTGTGGCTAGTA